ACATAAGAGTATGAAGGGAAGACTGTACTGTTTGGGGCAATACCAGAAATTTTGACTCTAAGCTGTGATAGCATTATTTGGCAATGGCAGAGGAGGAAAGTGCTTAGATACACAGGATAATTCAGGATGCTGTGTTACTGTGAAGAAAAAAAAAAGGCAAATACAGCTTTAGAAAGACTAGAGGAAAGGACTTCTTGTAGAGAGAGAATTGCCTATGCGTGAGGCAATGGTGAGCCCTTTTTCTGGTTCACAAGAAGTAAATTTGGGGTAAATAGGGACAGAGGGAGCTACCACATTTCTGGGAAATTTCCCAGTTTTCATAAGGGAAATGAACAGCCTGTTCTGGTAGAAGGAAAAAGAAAATATGGCTTGTTTAGCTTGGTAAAATGAAGACTGAGAAGAGACACAATTGCTCTCTTTATTTCAAGTTAGTGTAAGAATAACTGGATATAAAGGATCTGTTGAGTAAATCTCCTAAACACAGAAAGAGGAGGGTGTCCAGCCCTCCCTTTTGTTTCAGTGTGTGTGACTCCCAAAGGGTGCAGGCAGGACAGGGCGGTCTGCAGTGCTGCCGCATCCCGGCTGATGGACTGAGAGAGGAGGGGGCAATGGGTCCTGAACGAGGGAGGGCACTGGTGTCATGGGAGGTGCACTGGGAGATGAAGCGATGGCTCGGGGTGTCCATAAAACACCTAGTGTGTGTGGTCACCACACCAGGACCAGACCAAGGGCGTGGGCAAGGCAAAATCATGAAAAATAAGCATCTTGAGAGACCAGGCAGTGAAGGTTAAAGGTAGAGATAAATTAGCACCAGTTCTTGCTGCTGCTGCTGTGATTTCTGTGCAGGTTTTCAGGGAGAAATGCTGCTGACTTGCAGAAATATGGAGGATGTAACAGAACTGAGAAACTTCCTACTTTACAACTTGCTGTTTTTCTTGAATGTGTTCCTCATTGACTTCAGTCTCTGATTTAGTCTTTATGTATTTTGAGATATTGCAATATAATTGATAAGACTAACTTGATCTGAAGCTGAGACATTCCCCGATTGTAACTGATTACAGATGGGGACCTTACCTTCCTCCTGGATTGGTCTCTGAAACATTTTCTTAGTCTTAAAATATTCTATTTGGCTTCTCTTGAAGGGACAGAGGATGTTTTGTGCTTCCTCATGGAGTCATCAAGAAAAAAAGGACAGGTGGTTTGGGGCTGCTGTATTTGCATAGCCCTGAAAGATGGCTTTAACTGATGATAAATTTTGGTCTAATAACTGTGACCAAACGATCACGCATCAGACCCACTGCCACCTCTGGGACGGACAGCCGTAACGGTGCATCTGCTTGCAGAGCGACTCTCCTCCTGCTGTTTCTCTCCCCACTGAAAAGAGCAAACATCCACTAATCATAGAGAGAAGCAAAGGAAATCCCAGCCTCATCCCAAACAGCAAAAAGGGCTCTGGAGCCTTCTGGGACCTTCCTAATGGAGCTCCCAGAAGTTTGTTACTCCAGCTGTGGGCTCGGACAAGCAGCCCGTTTGTTTGTACAAACAGTGAGACTCAGTGAGACTCGGTGATCTTAAGGGTCTTTCCCAACCTTAATGATTGTATGACTCTAAGCCGTACTGGCTGCCTGCTCGATGTGAGCGGTGGAGGGGGGAGAAGGCAGTGCCGGTCTGCCAGGTTGCAGGAGCAGTGGTGGTAGTGACATGCGGGGACAAGAGGGTGGAGGTGTCAGTGAATGCTCCAAGCTGCTCTGTTGCTGTCTTGAGGCGCAGATTCATGAGAGAAGAGCTGGCGTTTTCTGCTTGTGGTGCTGAGGTGTAGCTTCAGGACTCGGGGCAGGAGCTTTGTGTATGTGAATAATCCGGCACACAGGAGTAGGAAATGAGGCAGTAACGGTAAGAGAGGGTCAAAGCAGTCTGAAGGGACAGTGAGCATCTTGCCAGCACAGCCAAAGCGCACCCAGCATCTGAGGGCAGGAGAAGGCTTCTTTGCAGTAGTAGCAGGAATAAACCACCAGCATTGCAGCCACTTCATGTAATCCTTCGCCAATTGTGGATCCCGCTCACAATGCTCTGCTTAAAATGTCAAAATGAGCACTCTGACAGCACAGCCCAGTCCATGGGGATGCGGGTGGCCAGAGCATTGCCCCTTTCTGACCATCCTGCTGCAGCTCAGAACATTGCACCAGCTGAAAGATTTCCAGGACAACTTGCCCACAAGCTTGGTTACACAGAGCAACTGGGCTTACCCAGAGTGCTATTTAGGGTGTATACAGCCTAAAACCTGCTGAGTTTTAGGGTGTACTTTGTTGCCTTTCCGCTGTCAGGGCAATGGGAGTGAAGTGCTGGCCTCTCTCTTGCAGTTTTGAGAAATCCACTGTGGCTCTTCTCCCCACTGTGGCCGCTGGTGCTGGAATGCAGCTTCCTTCGCCCGATGAGCTCTGTCTGTCAGTGGGGCAAGTCCCTCTCCTGTAATCAGTAACCAGAGCTGCTGTTGGAGACATGCCTCATCCCTCCTGCCTGTGTTGCTGTCAGGTGCAGGGGGAGCAGCACTGCACAGAGCTCCCTGCTAGTGTTCTTTGGAGGGGGCAACAGCCCCTCCTCACCAGGGAATCCTCTTCCTCTGTGGTCTTACTTCAGCCACAAAACCTCTGAGAGCGCTGCCGCAGACACCAGTAAGATCCGTGGACCAAGCAGGAGGCTAAATTTCTTTACATGTGGCTTTCTGCTTGGGAAGAGGAGTTTGTGGCAGTGCCCAGGGTGTGGAGCAGCCTTGATGTGGAACAGCCAGAGGTTTCTCTGTCTTGCCGGCAGCCTTGCAGTCAGTCCTGGAGCCAGACCGAGCTGTAGTGTGAGAGGCTGAAATTGCATTGCCCAAAGTTTTATTATCCACCTCTTGTACTTAAATTCCTGCTCCACTTCTACCTTTTACAAAGCAGCTTTCTGCTTGCCTTCAGATAAGGCACTTGCATGTGGCCTGAGGTGATGTTTTAGGTAGTTTGAGTTTGCCTGGAAGCGGCTGCTTCCCCAGTTACTGTCTGAAGGGACACAAGCAGGTTGTGCTGGGTGAAACCAGTTGGCTTCTCATATGTTTGATGAAAGATGTAAAGGAGGGATCAGCTTGTGCTGTGATGTATCAGGCACATCAGGCTCCCTGGCACTCCAGATAGGCTTTGAACAAGCAGCCCAGCCAGATGTAGGTGGATGCAACGAGACCCAGCGTTCCCAGTGTTGCCTCTCTGCCAGCAGACACTGCTCGCTGCCTCTTGGCAGGAGCACACACGCACACTTGGCTGCTTCTGCCGGTGCTGTGCGTTCCTAGCGAGGGGCTGTGTTGTCAGAAGCGGTGCTGCATGGTGGGGGCCAAGCCCAGGACCCCCAGCTGATGTGTCACATGCGGGACTATTTCCAGCACGCTGGGGGAGCCTGTCTGTCCTGCTCTGAGTGACAGGCACGTGCAGCCCTGCTCTCCCAGCTCTCTCTGCTCTGCACCACCATCACTCCTGCTGCTGCTTTCTGAAATTCATGCTTTTTTCCTTTTATGAGCCAGCTTTCTTCACAGTGCCAGTTTTCAGTCTCTGCTTTTATGCTAGCAGAAGCCAAGCACCGAGTTGTTTCTGGGCATCGTCTCCCCAGTTTAGAGACAGAGTCTTCTGCATTTTCAGAGTCCCAGAGAGCACCAGCTCAGTTCACCATATGTGGCTCTGTTGTTCCCGGTGCTGGTGCAGCCGTTGCAGCATTCAGGTAACAGTGTTACTGGAAGCAGAAGTCAAAGACTTCTTTTGAACACAGGTTACCAGACCTACCTGAGCTTTCCTTAGAAGCTTTAACTGTGATCATTCCTGTGCATGGAGGGGACGGAAGTGGCTTGTAAATGCACGGTAACAGCAAGAGAGGTATTTCCAAAAGGTGCTGGAGATCTAGAGAGGGGCCTTTAGTCCCTTGGACCTGTTGGCAGCAGGGCTGTCTGTGCCACCCAGCAGTCATGGCTGAGAGCTGCTTGTCCTGGACAGGCCAGGACATCCACAGATGACAGGAGAGCCACATGCGCATTGTGTGTGATGGACACAACCAGTGCTTTGCAGACAGGTGCCTGTGATTTTGCAGTGGATAGACTGGGCTTAGGTACCTATAACAAAGTGCTCTCAGAGGGCTCATTGGGCTTGTGCTTTGTTGGTTGAGATCATTTCAAGGAGGCTCCTGTAGAGTGATTTTTATCATGGTCCAGATCATATTTAGAGTTCAGATTACCTCCTGGCCAGAAGACTGTGCTGGAGACCTGAGTTCATTTACTGGGATTCTTGTTCTGTTGGGAGATTTTGGGGAAGATTGCTTTTTCCCTGCTCTGCCTTGGTCTCCCTAAGGGACAAACCACTTACTGCTTTAATGATACCAGCACAGGGGGGTGATGGCAGATGCTCTAATCGCGGCTAAAGCCTGCTGCAGGGAACACAGACTTTAACCTTAAGCATGTGATTTCCTCTGGATAGGGCTAGCAGGAGCCAGCCTTGATGCAGCTGGTCTTGGGGCTTTTTAGCTGCGTGCACGCCCATGCATTTCCAATAGACCTCCCTTGGCAGGGAGCTGTATGTGGGTACAATGTGTGCCACCACCATGTTCTGTGCCAGCTCTGTTCCCTGGCACACATCGCTGTTAATGATGCACTGTTGGACTCTCATGTGCCATGGTTTGGGAGGGCACTGTAACCAGCTACGTCTGCCCAAGCCACCTGGGTTGCCCAGATTTCACCATGCCAAAAAAACTTCATCCAGCCCACGGGGAGACCTCCTACCTCAGGTGCATGTGTCTGACCCTGCTCACTGTGTTGGCTTTAGATAAGGGAAGGCCCTTGGTCTGCAAGGACTCTTCTGGTCTGCGACAGGGTCGGTTCCCTTGGCAGAAGCCACTGCCCTGCCCCAGCTGGAGACTCCCACAACGTGGGGAATGGGGGCACACTTGTCCAGGATAGCTGCTGACCTCCTGTCTTTCCCATTTCCTTCCAGTCCTGGACGCACAATATCCAGCGGGAGAAGGAGTTCCTGCGGAAGCTGGTGAAAGCCCGAGTCATCACTGACCTAACCAGTGGGATCTGAGTGGCTGCAGCCACTGCCTCCAAGGGAGGAGACGAAGACGCACGCTGCAGCTCTGGGAGCAGGCACTGGCAGCCCCCTGCAAGAATCCCACTTCACTGAAGACACACAGAGATGCCCAGGTGCTTTGGGAAGACCCTCTCACATTGCCAGTCTGCATGAGGGTTGCATCTGCTGCCTCCAGGCCTAGAGCTGGCAGGAGGTGGGCAAGGGGCTGAGTGGGCAGTTCTGGAACTCTGCATCGCAGACAGATCTTCTGTGTCCTGAACTAAACAGGAGAGACTCAGGAGAGAGAAGAAAGGTTTGTGAATAAAACAATTTGTGCCAAATGGGAGGGGACACTGCCCCGAGGCAGCAATGCCTGAATGTGCAAAGTATTATTTTTTAAAAGAAACTGATGGTTTCATACTAGAAATACCAAGGTGCAAGGCAAAGTCTGCTTGTGCACAGCCCTGCGAAAAGCCCGGCCTCTTCGCGCTCCATCTGTGTTGTCACCGGCCTCAGACCTTTTCCCAGGAAAACAAATCCGTCCAAAACTTCGGTGTCGTTGGTACTGCTAGAATTTGAAGAGAGAATAATGGCTTTCCCTCCTTCTCCACTTGGAGCTTCTGGTTGGCGATGAGCATGGGTTTGTTTTTCTGCACTTTCCCTTGCTTCCCACGTAGAGGCGGCAGCAGCAGCCACTTAGTTGGCTGCATTTTCCATAGCTGTTTGTGCTGCTCTGCCTCTGTCCTGACCCCAACGTGGAGCAGGGAGCCGATGGCTTTCTCTGCCTGCAGCAGACCCTCCCTGCCTTCCTGCCTGTCACGGCACTAAGGAGCCTGACTCGTTGTGCTCGAGGCTTTCAGGCCTCTTGGTTTGTGCCTGCTGTGCAGGGCCCCTGTGGAGTCTGTGCCGATTGGTGTCACCGTTTCTGGACAGCATCTCACTTTATTTTTGTGTGGGGGAGGAGTAATTTATTATTTGGAAGACATCTCGCACAGAGATCTGAAGCTTTACAGTTTGAGAGCAGGCTGCTGAAGATGTTTGTTTTACGTTACAGACTCGATCATGTTCCCTATTTAAGCGATACGTGACCTCAGTGATGATGGAGCCTGCTGGCACAGGTGCCTGCTGGGAACCCTCACCCCCTGCTCGGCCCCTGCTCACTTTGTTTCCAAGCTCCTCCCGTGCTCCTCTAGCACTGCTGCTCCTCTTGCTCTCAGGAGCACGTCTCTTCCTTTGCCGTCATGGTCCTCAGATGCAGTATTTGCACATTTGATTTGTATTTCAGGGGAGGTGGAATAAACTGAGCAACGTGGCCGAGTGCAAGGGCAGCGGGGTGGTCTCATCTGCCTGGCCAGAAGGGGGATTGCCAGAGGAGTGGCTGCAGGTGGAAATCGGCTCCCGCGCTCTCATCGTTGGAACAGGCGGGACTGCGCCCATGGGCACTGTCCTGCACCCGGTCCCTGTGTGTGGAGGCATCGGCATGCAGCCAGCCGGTGCTGGAGTCAGCAGAGGGGAGATTCCGGAGAGATTCTGGCTGGGCTCATGGTCCTGGTGCTGCATCTGATGTAGTCCAAGGACTGCAGCCTGCCTTACTCTGAGCAGAACAGAGAACGTGGCCCTAATATGGAGAAGGGATGCTCAGAGAAGAGCTCGCATGGTTCCCCTGGGCCACCTCTGCTCCTGCTGACTTGCAGGGGGCTGTGGCTCTGGGGCTCAGACCCCAGAGGGGACATGCATTAGGGGCAGGCAATGACCCAGACATGGGGCAGAGGAGCAAACTGTACAGGATGGTTTGAGACCAGGCTGCAGGCAGAAGCAGCTCTCAGGACGGGGTGCTGGGTGCTGCCCACCCACCAGTGTGCGATGTGCCCCTCGGGAGCCTCCCCTGCATGGTGCACCCATAGCCACGGAGCTCACTCAGGGGCAAGTCCTGTCCAGCTTCTGGTTGTGGCTGCTGCTTGCCTTGTAGTCTGGGAGCAGCAGTGAGGTTTCCAGCAGGTTTTTGGGCATATGCTGTGGCAGATACTCACTTGAATATTCTCCCCAAATTTGTTTTTCCTGCTCAAGGAGCCAAAAGGACTGGATTTCCATGGCTCTTGCCAGGCAACACTCCCTTCATGGTTCCTTGTGTCATCCTGGACCTGGGACCATCAGCCACAGAGTCCTTGCCATGGCAGCAGTGGGGTTGCCGGGGCTGGACCTGCCCAAGGCTGTGTCTGGGGAAGTGTGGGCACACTCCCTCCGCCTTGGTGCTTAAACTGGGTCTTTAACCAGCTGCTGTGGGAGCCCTGGGACAGTGATGGGGTGATGGGCTGCATCCATACACTTCAGTGAGCTGAGATGCCAGAGAGTGGGTGGGTGCAGCCAGGAGGAGGAGGAGGAGGGTTGCCGGGGCTGGACCTGCCCAAGGCTGTGTCTGGGGAAGTGTGGGCACACTCCCTCCGCCTTGGTGCTTAAACTGGGTCTTTAACCAGCTGCTGTGGGAGCCCTGGGACAGTGATGGGGTGATGGGCTGCATCCATACACTTCAGTGAGCTGAGATGCCAGAGAGTGGGTGGGTGCAGCCAGGAGGAGGAGGAGGAGGGGGGGGTGAAGAGCCCTTGGTGTCTGTGCTGGGCTCCTCTCCACCCACCAGGGGAAGCACCCCCATGGAAGCTTGTAATGGCATTAATTTGATTTAGTCTGTTTTATTGAGCACTACAAAGCTACAGAGCACCTTTATGTTCCAGTTCACTGGCTGCAGGTCCAAGGAGGGAGTATGGCCCCTGCTCTGCTTTCCTTGGCATCCCAGCTCCCCGCCATGGCCAGGAACAGGTCCTGATGGGAAGCTGCCCCTGCAGGCCAAGGAGGTGACTCCAAGCCCTTCCTTCCATTTTGGTGGCAGTTTCCAGGCAGAAGTGCCCAGACAGAATAGATGGTAGATGGCCCAGGGTGACTGTGGTGGGGGCTGTTTGGGGGCCAAAGGCTCCCCTGTAACTCACTGTCCCGTTTGACACTGGTGGGACAAATGCACCCACAGAGCAACCTATGGCTGGGCACTGGGGTTGCGTACCCCAGCCCTTGGGGCCAGTGTGCAGCTCTGGGTTTCACTCCTGGATGCTGTTCCTTTGGCTGCCTCCCCACGTGCACCTGCAGCCATCTCCCGCCCTCCGAAAAGCGGCAGTCCTGCCAGCTCGGAGCGGTGCACGCGGGTCAGAGCAGGGTCAGTGGGACGGATGTGAGTCTTGGCCTCTCCCTCGCAGTGACTCACCTTTCAGCTCGGAAGGGAGAGCCCAGGGGAATTCTCCACAGCCTAAATATAGAGCAGGGTTGCCCGGTGCCTCTGACGTGCTGCAGTGCAGAAAGGCCACTCGGGTGGCAGGGAACCTGCCTAGAGAGAGGCCAGGGAAGTGCAGGGAGGTCAGGGGGCCAGCTCCCGCAGTGGGGTTTTGCTCAGGCTGGTGCAGAGAGCAGTCCGGGAAGCTGCAGGTCCGGGGAGCTGCAGGCCAGCCAGCATGCACCGCTCGGGGAGAGGAGCTGCTGGGGAGCTGCTGCTGCGCTGACCACACTAAGTGCAGGCTGCTCGTGCATTTGGGGTGTAAAGCCCAGTGCCCGCCACCCTGGCATCAGGCTCCCTCCAGCAGCTCGCCCCGTCAGGGCTGGCCGTGCGTGTGGTGACCTCAGTCTCACACGTGCCAAACAAAGGCACTGCCACCAAGGAGCGCAGGGCAGCAGCGGGATCCTCTGCAGCCCGGCATCCCTCAGCCCAGCATTCAGGGCTTCCAGCATCTCCTGTTCCTGGGAGGGAGCAGCGGGGAAGCCCTGTGCCACCGTGCTGCTTTACCCCTCTGTGCTGGGAGAGGTGGAAGGTGTCAGGACAGGGAAATCTGTCTGACCATGTCAAACAGGGCCAGGCAGGCTGGGTATGGGCAGCACCGGGGACAGGCAAGGGCTTCCAGACTGCCTGGTAGGGAGGCAGGCACCACGCTGAGGTCCAGCTGCCCCAGCACGGCGTGTGCCATCAGTCCGAGCGTGCATCACGCACAGTATTAGAGACGCGTCCTTCAGTGCGGGCAACCTGGGCCACTGCCCAGCCCCTCCAGGCACCGGCTCCTCACACAGGGACTCGCTCCAAAGGCCAGTGCACTCACCGGTACCGTACCAAGCTGAGATGCAAAAACTCAATGAGTTTTTAAAACTAGTTTTAGTTTCTGACATTTTTTTTTAATTTCCCCTCTGGGCAGGGAGGGCAAGAGTCTTGCAGGCTCCTCCAAGCCGGCTTATGTCACATCAA